GCTGCTCCCGTGCCTCGCTCAGCCAGTGAGCGGGAACCGGTCTGTATGTGGGATCCGAACCCTGGCGGGAGCGCCGCCGCGCTTCCCAAGCGGTGCACTATCCAGTGCGCCACCGGGCCGGCCCCTTCTTTCTCTTTTAACTTCTGCTTATGAGTGAGTACATGCAGTATTTTTCCCTCTGTGCTTTGCTTATTTCACTCAACGTAAGTTTCTTCAAGCTCATCCATGTTGCTGTGAATGGCAGAATTTTATTCTTTTTAACAGCAGAGTAGTATTCCATGGTGCACATATTCCACATTTTCCATATCCAGTCATCTGTCGATGGACATTTAGGTTGTTCCACATCCTGGCTACTGTAAGCAGAGCTGCAATGAACATGGGAGTGCAGGCATTCTTTGACATGATGATTTCCATTCCTTTGGGTATATACCCAGAAGTGGGATTGCTGGATCTTATGGAAGATCTATCTGTCGTTGTTTGAGAAACCTCCATACTGTTTTCTATACTGGTTGTACTAATTCACAGTCCCACCAACAGTGTAGGAATGAGGAACAGTAATCTATTGAATCCATAGTCAATTATGACCTATTCACAAATACCATAGCAAGTTAGACCTTGATTGGAAATACAAAGAAATTTCAAATTCAATATGTTTACAACTGAACTTTATATAAATCTCTCCTATATCAGTCTTCTTTGAATCTCTAGTCTGGGTGAGTTGCCCTCACTATCCACCTACTCACCATGGCTCTGCCTGCTCTATAGCTACCCCCTGATCACTCTTTAACCCCCACCAAACCAGTTTTACACTCTCCACTATACTTCAGCGGCTCACCCCTAAGTCACCCATGACCTCCATGGAACTAAACTCTTGGGTCCTCTTGCTTGACCTTTCTATAGCATTTGCGCTGATGATAATCTCCTTTCCTCTAGCCACACTCTCTTCCCTTGACTTCTGGGATACCACACTTTCTGGAATTCCTTATGGTTCTCTGGCTGCTTCTTCTCATTCTGCTGTGCTGGTTCCTCCTCTTCTACCAGAACTTTAAAGTTTCACATTCCTAAGGATTTGGTCTTAGGTCTTCTCTATTCATTCCATGTATTCTCACTGAATAATTGCATTCCATTCCAAGGTTTCAATTATGATTTAT